CATCAGCACCTCTCTTAAAACATCCTGCCAGTCCCTGCTCTGCCAATAACCCACACGGCCACCTCAGTGGAGAACAGATAATAATTAATATGGAGCAATCAAAGACAATTAACCATAGTAGCAGGGCCACTAATTTTCTGACAAGGAGAGGGGGCAGCTCCCAGTGTGGGCAGGGATGCTCCCCTGGGATACAGGGCTCCTGGGCACGTGCCGCAGACCTGCACCCACTTTCCTCTCCAGGCCTGCATTTTTTGGCAGCATCCATGGGCAGGACAGGGCTGCAGCTCTCCCGGCCCCACGGCCAGCACGATAATCAGTGCTGCCAAGCCGGCACGTGGGCTAAGGGGAACCGATTCAGTCCCACCTCACCTGGTGCGTGGCCGAATGGCTGCTGGCAGCTACAGCTTAACCACAGCCTGGCACTGCCTGCCCGTTTCTCTCTCCATCCCCCCCAGCTCACGGTCTCCAAGAGCCGGTTGTTTTCCTGTTTGGATGGGAATGCTGGCCGGGACTGAGCACTGGCAGTGGTGGCTGGCGCTGCCCTGCGCAGCTCTCCATGTTTGATCTGTATCCAAGGATTTATCTCTCCATCCTGCTCTGCCTTCCCAGGAAGACGGGAGCAGGAGCTGAGAGCCGCAGCTCAGATGCCTGTGCCAGTGTTACTGCGCCTGTTTGCCAACGCCAACCATGTGTGAAATGAAAAGGGGAGGGAGCTGGCTGCTCCCGGCTGGGAAGGGACCCCCCCTCCCCACCCAGCACCCCCTTACCAGGGCCGCCTGCGCACGTCGTAGAGGTCGATCTTATTGGGGGCTCTCCACGGGGTGGCTGTGGGGGGAAGGCAGGTGATGAGCAACGTAGGGCTGTCCTGGGGTGGGGGACAGGGGGACATGGCAGACAGGGCAGAGGGATGCGAGGAGGCAGCAGGCTCCGGCTGGGAGCTCACACCACTGGGCTTTGGCACAATATGGTTACATGTGCCAGGTGGCCCCCAGGGCCAGTGCTGGGGGATGCTTGCTC